CAGGACCCTTTTCCATCTATAAGAACTTGTATGAGGAGATACAAGAGAGAGAGCCAGTCACAGTACAATATTCGTATGTGCTGGAGGAGTGTGAAAAGGATATAAAATTAATTTATAAAATACCTAAAGTATGGTCCTTCAGTGTTTTTATTCACATCTTCTACCCACTTAGCTACATTATAGTCTCTTTTGAACCATGGATTTAAATACCTGCAGAAAGCAATGGAAGGAACAAAGAAAGCAGAACAAGATAGAAAATCTGAAAATACACAGCACAAGCTTAGCAAGGATGTCTTCACCCTCCATATGCAAGTGACTATGGCAAATAAACCAGGATGGGCACTGGGTGATTATGAGGCAGCTTATATATAAATACATATATATATAGAGATATATATACAATGGCCTGAGAATAATCTCAGCTATAGCAAGGCTCAAGGCATCCTAGAATGTATTCAATAGCTCTGGGAAGGCCTTTGCCAGTGGCTTCCAAAGCAAATCAGAACTCCCTTTCAATAGCAGTACTGTCAGCACTCCAGTTCACCCACCTCCAAAGTGCCTTTTTTCCAGGCCACTGCCAATTTGGTTCCTTGTTTTTCAAATGGTAATTGTGCTTTTTGAAAACATTCAGGAGGCTGCAACTCCAATCTGTCATTTGGGTATATAAAACCCCAAGCATAACTTCAAAGAGCAAATTTTCTTTTCAATACAAGAAGGCAGCTTTTACATGGCCGCTCCCTCACTCCCTACAGCTGAACCCAAGCTGGGGTCCACAGAAAGTACTTTCAGGTCAGCGAGGGAAGGTGCAGAGGAGGTTTTCTCTGGATGGTGGGGCCCAAAGCACAGGAAGTGCGGCCTACAGAGGGCTCCACAACCCTGGGGCTGGGATGAGTGAATTAGCAGCAGCAGCAATGCTCCTTTGAGCCCTCCAGACTGAAGTGCTCCTGGTACTGTTAGAAAACGGCCCTCAGGAGTCACTTCCAAGAATCTGATCGTGAATTGAGTGAATGGCTGCCAGAGAGTAACAGTGACCTCGGTTAGCATTTCCCTGATGCATCTGGCAATGTCTCCATCAGCATTACCACGCAGATTTTAAAGGCAGTAAAATTGGAGGTGTGGCTGTTATTTTCCCCAGAGTTTCTTTTGATTTTTACCCTGAAAGCCAACAAAGAACACATCCCCTTAGAATTTGGCCTTGTAGAACAATACAGATTTAATAAATTCAATAGTGGAAGAATTTGGAGGTTTTTACTGGGCTTTCTCATTTTAAAAACAATAACTTCAAGAAACAGTATAGGCAATGAAGATCCAAGCTCTATAAAATTTGTTATTATAAAATACATTATTTGTTTTTGGTTAAAGTTCACTTTTTTCTACTGTATGTAGCCTTGAGTTGTTTATAAATACATTTAAAGCCAAATCCACACTTCCACAGTAATAGTTTTAAAAGCAGGTTATTTTTCCATAGCCTGGCTGTTCCTTCACTGTTAGCTAGAACCAAGGAACTCTACAAAATAACATCATGATTCTCTCTTTTTTTAAAAAGGGTTTTATTTCTCTTTATACTTTTTCAATACTTTTAATTGAGACAGGATCTCACTGCGCATGCCAGGCTTCCAGGCTGGCCTTGACTTCACTATGTAGCCTGCGCTGGCCTCAAATTCATAGCGATCCTCCTGCTTCAGCTTCCCAAGTACTGGGATTAAAAGTGTGCACCACCACACCTGGCCTTTTTATACTTACAGACCATCTTTACTAAGATAACTGTCTGATCTAGGAACAACTCACAATCACTGCCTTCAGCCACAATCACTGCCTACTTGTACTTTTCACAGAGATAGTCAAAGCCTGCATAAAGATTTCCACTGAGGCTGAACAAAAAGAAAAAGTCAAAAAGAAAGTGCAGAGCTGCTGATGAAGGCTGGTGAGTGCTTTGGCCTGAGGAAAACTGTAGAAAAAGCTTATGCAGCTGTTATCGGGTGAAACAGGGCCACACACCGAACGGAGTCACCTGCAGGGAGATGGCCACTTCCTGGAGGAGATGTTCATCTCTTTCACTGAGTAGCTCCGAAAACCCAAGGCCTGGTACCATAGCTGTTCCATGAAAGCTACAGCCACCTGGCTGGACTTGCACTTGGTAGGCCTTTTCCTGTGTTTCAGGGAGCAACTCAGAAGGCTGGAGTCACTTCACAGAGCCACTGAAGAGAACTCTGAATTGTTGCTCCACCTGGGAGCCTGCCCAGGAAAGGGTTTTCAGAGTGGACTTCCTGACATCTCTACATCACAGTGGCCAGAATGGTGGGATTCTATTAAACGTCAATCACCCTGTGTGCCTTGACTTGGCTTGTAGCGCAACATGCAAAAAATGCGTCAGACGGGATGGGAGAGCTCTTATGTTCTCCGGGATGGAAAGGCAGAGGAAAATTAGCTGGTGCTGGCTGGACCAGGAGCACCTCTGAGCAGACATGGAGGCTCGGTCAAAGATCAAATGACCCTGTTCTCAGCCAAGGAAGGGACTTGGAGGGAGCTTAAGTGGCAGCCCAGAATGAAGGGGCAGGTGGAGACTGACCTGTGATCCAGACTCCCTGTCTGGGGGCTGTCAGAGCCCCCTGGGCTTATGCCTTGGGATGGGACTGTCTGGGCGAGGGAGTGCCCAGGCTCGGGTGCTTGGGGCTCCCTCCTGTAAAAACACAATATATAATACAAAGTCTAAGCCAAAAAGCTCTTTCACATCATGTACAACAGTGAGGAAGGTGCATAAGCTTTGAGTGGGAAAACAGTACAACAAACAAGGACATTTTATTTTGTTAATCTGCAAAGCATGCATTTGTGGTGCATGTTGTCATTCATGTCCCAATTTTCATCACCCTTGGGGATGATGAGGTATTAAAGGCAATGCTGAAATAAAGAACCTGAAGTACCTCCTACTGTTTAAAAAAAAAAAAAATCAAAGGTATCTTTTCATGTGGTCATTTTGCTCCTTTTACAGTCACGCAAATGGTGTTATTATATCAGAAGCAGATGAGATTGCTTAAAACTGTGCCAACATAATTCTTGACATGTTATAAATCAGGAATCATTATATTATTTCAGTGCTACGGATCAAACTCAGGGCCTTATGCATGCTAGGCAAGTGCTCTACCACTGAGCTACAACCCCAGCCCAAGAATCCTTAGTTTTAAAATGTATAAAAATGCATGTACAGATAGAGAAACAGTCCCAGGACCAGAAAGTATATGAGGACAGTGCTCCATTTATTTACATGAGTCATGTACCTAGACCCAGAAGTCTGAAAAATCTGAAGGAATTCTTACTTCATCTCCCTTCTGAGATGATTCTTTTAGAGTATCCTATTAAATAATATGTCCTATTAAATATTATAACATAACTATCTCAAAGCTAGATTTCTCAAAGGCTACTACAGTAGTGTAATTTTCAGCACATGAAGTGAGGGGAAATTATTCACAAAATTTTAAAAGATAAGTGAATGCCCTAGAAAATATCATATGAATATTGCTAAATACCAAATGTTCTTTGGAGCCTAAACTAATAACTTAAACATACTACTGAAGTTCTTTTTTCCACTTAGGAATTGTCAAAGTCTTGCTACAGGAAACACTGTTAGAATACTCAATAGTACACAAAGGAAGTTCTATAGAACAGTTTGTGGTTTTTATCTGTTTTCTTATGTGCAATTCAGATAAGCTAACGAGCTCTTACCAGGTGACCTCATGCAAAACAAACCAAATAACATTCCGCATAAGAGTTTATCAGCAATGACCCCGAAAGCACCCAAGCGCTTTGGGAATGCATAAGATAAACTCTAACTGATTAGTTATTTATGATGAAGTTCTATGATGCCATTCTGGACCATGCAACGCTATCACTTGAAACTGTTCATTGTTTCTAAGGTAAAGTATCCTCTAATAAACTTTGATAAGCCACTTACAAGACAATACCATTCAGGTGGAAGGTCCACATTTCAGGGCAATGTTATTATTCCTGGACTGAAAAAGGCAGGGTACATGATGGTAAAGCTAACAGAAGTTTCTGACAAGCAGTTAACAAATACCTGCTACTCAGACTTTTTAAGTATTAAGGCATGAGGAAGCAATAAAGATCCTGGAAACGATAAACACCACTGAAGTAAGTAATAAGTGGAAAATCTTAGGTGCCTTAAAAAAGTATGGTTAGTTAAAACCAGGAAGCAAGTTCAGTCCAAAAGGATATGGAAGATGTGCTGGACTCCATGAATGGGAGATTTTAAAGGTCTGAGGAGGCTTTTACTTGTGCTTTCTTAAGTTGGAGAAACATTTTTTAAAAAAAGTACAGGGTGTTTACTTCATTGTGAAAGACCTTAAATGTAACTTCCAGCCCATCCTCACTTTAAAACAAAAGTGGCTATCATTTAAAATGAGTAGTGCTGCCTTTCACGACAATGACTCAGTTAAAGAGCAAGTTTAGGTGAATAGCCTATTAAAGGTCCTTCGAAGGATCCTTTAAAAGGGAACTATCCCCTAGTCTGAGAGAATGCTTAGATCGCAGCCATGAAGACCTCAGAGCGGTGGTTTCGGGTCTCGAGCACCATCATGCTCCAAGGCACAGGGGGTCTCCCTGATGCTTCCAGTCTGCATGTGTAGTGGGAGGAGGAAGGGTGGCCCCTTGAAATGACTGAGCCCCAGATGATGAGAAGAAAGGGGTGTTATCAAAATTCCCTCTGGAGGGAACCAAGACACCACAATGGCAGGTGACCGGTAGGAAAGCCTGCAGCAAGGGTGGGACCCCCACTGTCAGTGAATATTGGTTTGGGCACAGTTGCGGAGATGCCTATGTAAAAGAAAAAAGCCATGGTTAATTTTTAAAGGGCAAAAAGCATTCAAGAGACAAAACCAAGACCAGAAGCATGGTTTACCGGTTCTTTTGGCTATCTGCTTAATTAACATTCGACACTAATCGCATGGACCTTGGAGTGCCTTTTTCCATTAGAGGTTCAGACTTACTCAGTTGAATTAGATCGAGGTCTAAATCTTTTGCCTCTGATTTTCTTTCTGTTGCCTCCCAGGTTACCTGGAAAAGATGGTTTATAGACAGATTTTCATATAAATAAATAATTGTTCTATGTCCAATTACATGGCATTTCACCACCCTAGATGAACCAGGGTGTCACAGTGAGCTGTATCTTTAGTCCCTTTTTTATTTGGTATTTTCAGACAGGGTCTTATTAAGTCACTAAGTTTTCCAGGCTGGGATCCTCCTGCCTGGAATCCTCCTGCCTCAGCCTCCCAGAGCGCTGGGATTTGGAGCATGCACCACTACACCCAACTGGACTTATTTCTTTTAAATATAAAATCTACTTTTTAAACTTCCTCCTGCTAAGGGCATTAACAGCTAGCTCCTCGTCTTCTCAGATGAATGGATCAAGAAGTAACATTCCTGTCCAAAAGTGAGGAGGATTGGCAGGTTTTCTTCTCCACAAGGGAACAAAGAAGGAAAGATGCCACGGATGGCAGGGGAGATAGAACTACACAAGAATTCCCTTGTCTGTTACCTTATTTCTCCCTGCTCCTTATGATAAAAGCTCTTGCACACCTAAGCAGGGGGACATGGCAACTTGAGGCAACAAGAGGCCCCTGCATCTCTTTCAGGGCTGGCTTTGAATACATTCTTTTCTGCTGTTTGTCTTAACCGAACATGATTGTCATCCATGCTCTTGGGGAGAGGTGGGTGGTATAAACCCAAGCAAACTAACATACTAGTGCTACCAAACCCCAATACTCCCCACCCAAGAAGAGAGAAAAATAAAATACAACAGAAGCGAACACTGGACTCTCATTCTAAATACCCTCCTCTCTACTGAGAGAAGAGCTAGAAAGCTTATGGGAATAATCGTGTCTTTCCACCCCGAGGCCACAGAATATAAAACCTGGGTTATGCCTACAGATGGAGTCACCGTGCTGCCCTGTACCTTGCCAAGAGTTACTTCGAGGCCGTCCATTTTCACAGATGTCTGAAATATGTTTTGTGTCTGGAATCCTTTCACTCCAAGAATGAGAGAGGCCATTTGACCTGAAATTGAAAATATTTTTATAGTGTTCAAAATGGAATCAGATGAATGCTTTGAAATCAGTAAGCAAAACTTATAAGCATCACTGTGCATTAAATAAAATAAATCAAGAAAAAAATCTGAAATGAAAGAATGAAAAGAACATGAACGTCTTCATGAAGAAGGCAGAATTACACAACATTCAATTTAAGAAAAGTCAAATACAATGGAACCCCATTACAATAGTCCATAAACGAAAAGCACCAGAACTTAATGCAAGCCAATCTATATTCCCCAGAACACAGCAAGCATATGTTGCAAAGTCATTGTGTATTTCAGTGACATAAGCCCACCTGCAGAGTTATAATGGGGTCCCACTATAGATGTTTCTTAATTGTAAAGCAATGGCTTCCATTCAAATATTATGAGAACATGGACTTCCAAGAGATTGTACTAAGATTTGCTCAACCGAACCAGGTTCACCTTTATCAAAGTAATATTTATGGTTGCTTTAATAATAAAATTATTTTCCAAAAAATTTGGCACTTTTTTTCTCCACAAACATGATCCAAAGAACTACAGTACATGTTGGTTAATTATCCAATAGCTGAACTGAACAAGACGGAAGTCTGTCATGGAAACAGTTCTCACAAAGCCCATGTACCATTGAGCCCTCGGCCCTGTCCTACCAGCTTAAGTGAATCATCTACAAGAAGCAAAATCTATACACCTACTTTGTACCCCATAACAAAAGAAGTCTGACAAACTGCATATACTTAAAAGTTTGATAATTGGATAGCTTTTTAACTGGCTAAAGTCATAACCCATTACAATTTTTTAATTATTCAAAGGGAATATTTTAAGCTCTTTTTAAGTACTTTAAAAATTAGCACTATATTTATAAATTGTTTCCACATAGCATTCTGTTTAGTTGCTAATAATATCTATCTTTAAAAGAATTTACCAATGAGTGAAAGCACATGGAACTCAGCACAGTTGTTATGTGTTAATGCCCTAGGTTGGCACTTTTCAATATCATTTGCTACTTACAGACTGACTTCTGTCTTGTAAGAAAGGGTAACAGAAATTCTGCTGGAACCCATTTCTTTCTCTTTCTTCACTATGTCACTCAATTAAAATTTTTGTATTTGACCAAGGAAATATTTATGTAAGAGAATTCCACTAGATCCCTAGTCATTTTGTCTTAACCAACAAACCCTCCATGAATTTAAACATTTAAAAGAAAATCTTTCTATAGGCCCCAAACTAGTACTTCTGCCTTTGCTTTAAATTCTATTATCTAAGGGAAAGCTATCCTTCAACAAAATTCTACAGAGATCAGACTTCCCAGATCTCACCAGTTCCTTCGACTCTCCTTCCCGATGAATGTCCACAATGACGGAGCATCACTGCAGAATTTTTACAGATAATCCTTTCTGTCTAGGCCTCCAGGATAGATCATGTTCCCATAACCTAGCTGTATCACCTCTTGTGCAAGCTAACAGATGTGCCCAGACTCATTTGTGGGGCTACCAAGACTTGTTTCCTATCCATGACACCCCTACTGGCAACCCTAAAGAAATTCCCCATAAGAATATTTTAGCTTCCTTCAATGTGAATGCATATCTCACTCCTTAAAATATTCCAACTATTTATTTCTTCTATCCATTTACTGTAAAGTAATTATAAGGCATGCAGAATTTTAAGTGGTGTCAAACACCTTACGATGCTAGAACAAGAATATATCATCAATGTTTAAGACATATAAACTCTCACCTTACTGTTATAAAACTCAGGCAAATATTAAGCATACATTAATTCATCAACTAAGGCATAAATCATGACATCTCCAAATAGTCATTCCAGAAGAAAAGGCAAAATCATAATATTCAAATACATGATTCACAGAGAAGCAATCTGTTTCACAGCAAGCTTAGCTTGTATATATATGAAATTTAAAAAAAAAAATCAAGACAACATTTATATTACTAATTTATGTTAACTGCTTTTATTGAAGCATGACAGTAACCTTTTTCTTTGACTACCACATATGACATAAAGCTCACCATTTTAAAATATTATTAAAATACTATGTTAGTTTCTATAGCAACTTAGTGTCTTAAGCCTTGTAAGAGCAAGATACTCCAGGGTTTCTATGCAGATTTAAATTGCTTTGTTTTCTCTCAATTTTGTGGCCAAGTGGTTTGATTTGTATACCGAGTGGTTCTGAGCATATGGCATTTTGAAGTAGAGTAATCAAAGAACAAAGGATACTATTTTTTAACATTCAAGAAAGAAGGAAGAAGTAATCAAACCTGCTGCAAAATAATGAAATGTTCTGACTAATGGAATAATGTGGGATGGAACAGGTAGAAATCTGAAAATGCGACAGAAAGGCAGACCTCTTCTTAGAACTAGATGCGGAGTTTGTGCTGACTCCAGGAGGAATGTCGCTATAAAAAGAGTCGCCATCTCCAGGCTTTTTAACATAATCTCCCTGGGGTAACTGTCTAAGGCATAATAAACATTTCAGAGTCAGAAAACAAGACACACACATGAACACAGACATATATACAAATATTATTTCAGGAAAAAAAAAGAGAGGTAGGAATAATGAGCTACATGAATCAAATCTATAACAACACATAAGATTATTAATAAATGTGACAAGTTAAAGTCATTCTCACTGTAGAGATCAGAAACACAATTACTGATGTCTTTATAGATTGGAAAAAGGCTTTACTTTGGGAGGGAAATGTGGAAAGACAAGCTTTTTAAAACTGTAATCTCATTATCATTGGTGATGTTAGCTGCAGTTTTGTCTTTTAAAAAAAAACTGATGTGGCGGATGTGTTAGGTTGGTCCTTCCCCAGAAAAAGCAGCTGTTTTCCCACTGCAGTGAATAAACTCTTCACAATTTTTGAACATTATATAATGAATGTAACCTTGACTTGTTCTTTTTTTTTAACTGACTGCTTTGTAAGGTATTCCATAATTTAATCCAAATAAATTACTAGTTTGACATTCAGTTTGGAATTTCGTTATTTATTTTAAAATTATGAAGAAACTGAGGAAGAGTCCAAGTTGAGTCAAAACAGTAATTTTATAATTAAACCGTATTATGCAAAGATGGATAAATTAGCAAAAGGAAGAAAGTGTTGTGGACACTACGGAAAGGCATTTCTGGGTAGATAGTGACGATTCAGTTGACGACTTCTGCTGTCCTAAGAGTACAGCAAGGGGCAGTACGTCATTGCGCACTGGTGCCGACCCCAGTCCGCTCACTGTGAACTAAGGCTGGCACAGACTTTTCTTACTTCTCCTAAGGGAAATAGGTAGGGCCTTTATATGGTGACCCCAGTCAATGACCCCACGGTAGCTAATGTGGTCACCTGTCAGTGTGTGGCCCTCAAACAGCCAACTAACTGCAGTCAACACCTGATCCATCCACTCAGTGCTACAGTGCAAGATGTCTCACACTCATGCAAGCCAGAGTAAACCTCCAAGCAAAGCAAACGTGCAGATTCCTTCTCCTATCTGGTCTCTCTTCAGTTACCATGATAATCTTGCTTACTTGCTAATGCTAAATTTTTTCCCCAAAATGCCACTTTCAGATGTCTGCTTATTTACGTTGACTCTCATATTGCCGTAAATGTTTAAAACACTTAATCATTCTTTTGAATGGCTGAACACCTTCTCTCATATTACCGCAATGCTATTTATTCACACACGGCTATAAATCTGAAAAGTAGTTTTCAATGGACATAAAGCATGTGCTTAATTTGTGTGACTTAATCTACTTCCTTATTTTAATTAAAGAAAGAATTTACTACTAAACTAATCTGTAAGACTAATTCTACCCACAGATCTTTGACACAGGCTCCTCCAAAATAGATACTTTTTAATTCTGAGAGTGAGTTCAACTCATGATTATCCTTTCTTTTACCAGTTGTTATGATATATTGATTTTATATGAAAAATAACATAAGCCTCCATATTTACAATATTAATAATATATGATGAATAACTTATCTTCCTATGCAAGTGGTCTTTGATCTCTGGAATCACAGTTTGTTTTATCCTGCATCAGCAAAATACCCTAATACCTGAAAAAAATGGCCTGGGGGCTGGGGATATAGCTCAGCGGCACAAGCCCTGCCTGGCAAGTGCAAGGTCCTGACTTCTGATTCCTGGTACCAAAAAAAAAAATAAAAAATTTAAAAAAAAAAAATGACGCCTTTCATAGATTGTGGAAAAAAACGGCCTCAATGAAATCAAAGTTCTATATCTTGCCTCAGGGAGGAAACTTTTCTTTTGTACCATAGTTATTAAAAATGATATAGTGTAAAACAACCACTGTTAATTCATATCATTTTGTCTTGAAACCCTGTATCACTTTAAATGTCTTTGCTTTGCCTCATTTATGTTTATGATGCTGGTATGCTGCTATTGTTCTTTTTTTTTCTCATTTACTACTCTCTGTAAAAATAAAATTTAAAAAAAAATGACACCGTGTCCTATAAACATATTTCCAGTAATAATGATTAACAAATTCTTTTTATCATTACTACCTTTAATGATGACCTTAATCAGGTGATGAGGTATGTCTCCACAAATTCAAATTAAGTAAAGTCAAGCTACTATGAAAGAGGTCAGAATCACACTTTACGCCCCCAAGTGACCTTGTTTTTGTATGGTACGGGCATTCAGGCATCTATCCCTGCATTTATCAACTCTTCAGCTAGCTGACACCGCAGATGCAAAGTGACCGCTTCCCACAGTGGAGCAGGCATTTTTATTTTTTTATTTTTGCCTTTTAATGGAGCATGATTTACCAGTTTTTCCGTGTAACTTCTCTGAAGTCCACAGTCATTTTAGACACAGTACACACTCTAAATGCCAAACATACAGCAGTCTGTGGATTTCAGTCAAGGTGTTGGGAAGCCCAGTTTAGTGTGCTTCTGGGGCACCTCCTCTTATTTGCCTGGCCAGATAAAACTCTTACCTAGATTATCTATCTTCACTGTAAAGCACCCAAAATATAGACACAGCTGGGCATGGTGGGGCACGCCTGTAATCCCAGCACTTGGGAGGCTGAGGCAGGAGGATCATTGCAAGTTTGAGACCAAGTGAGCTCAAGCCCAGCCTGAACTGCCTAATGAGACCCTGTCTCAAAAAAGACCAAAAAAAAACAACAACAAAAGAAATATAGGCACTACTTCTGTCTGCACCCTCCTAGAAATACAAGGAATGGTCACATCTTTCTTTACATAGTAAATACTAGTGATAGATTATTAATTTGTTAACAATATTTAACATATCTCACTCTTCACTTTTATATTATTTATTATATATTTAACAAATGTTTCTTTAGTGAAGATAAAGATGATTAGTGGTCCTTAATCAATAAAATAACGTTTTATTATTTTTATGAAACATCGTAAAAGACCAACCAAATGATGCCCTTAAAATTTTAATTGAGCTTCTTCTTCCAATCCTTTGTAGGTGTCCCTCCGAAATTTTGAGTGTTTTTCACAGTTCTTTAAATGTGGACTCTTTAGCACACTAACTGACCTAGTCAGTACTAAAGTTTATAACAGGAAAATTCCTCATGTTTCTTACAATACATGCAAATATTTTCGACATGTGCATATTTTTGTAAAGAACAACTCAAAGGAAAAAATACTGTTTTGCTTCAAAATTATCCCTTTCTACATTGATTATAGGTTGCCTTTTTCTTTCCTATACAAGCTTAGCTTATTTTGTGTTTTGAACTGACGTGTCTCATTTAATTACATTCTTTTGAAAGTATTCTAATTATCTAAGTCAAGGATGAACTCTTAAAGCTTAATGACTCTGGAGGAGCTGACAGATACAAACTGCAATTATTACTTCTCTGAAGGTCTAGGCTCACTGCTTGCTCTTGTGTGTTCATAATTATAAGTCATCTAGTTGTTGCATAGGAGCGTTATAAATGTAAACACTAAGGAAGACTATTTCTGGGACATCCAAATAGCTTTTGGGCAAATGGTTGACCTCATTATGAAAGAAGTCTGATCTTTCCTAAAAGTACCCATTAAACAGTTACATTTAATTGCATCATCCCTAGGTATCCGTGGAATGAAAAAATTTTAAGCAAGTTTCAGCCTTAGTGCTACAGAAGATATTTATCCAGTGCTTCGTTGGCGTCTGGCTCTTATTGGAACTGTTACTGTACTGTTTTAAGACATATTCCATAAGGTGTTCTGAGTCACACCGATAGATTCATGAATATTACTGGAATAATGTAGATATAAAAAGCAACCAAGAAAGGCTTGAAAAAAAAGTGAGACTTCCATAAGAGGAAAATAAAGTGGCTAAAACAGGTGAAAGAGAAAAGAAATAAAGGGGAGCCGATTCTGCTTAAAGTAAAACCACAGATCAGAAAGACATGACCTAAAATACTGTATTTCTCATTAGTCATAGTGACGAGTATTCATTTCAGACAAGGAAAAAAGATCCCCATTGAATAGGAATGCTTTATAAATCAAAGCTCAGCTAATGTTTCTTATTTTGTTTGTAGATCTGCCCCAAAACTAAAACCTATTTATAATTCTTGTTACCAACCAGACAGCTGCTGAAGTCCTAAAGCACTCCTGCTTTGACATAATAAAGTCAACTTTAAAAAGTATGGAGGTTTTCTTTCCTGGTGATTTGGGAGAAAATGATAAACAGCTATCTTTGTAATTACCTAATGTCTAAGGCTTCTGCAGGGCCCCCTGGCTGCGTGGATCTATGCCTTGCCCAATAGCACTGGTGGGTTGAAAGTGATGGGATTTAAGTGACATGTGGAGTTCAGCCCCAAAACAAGACTTTAACTATTTTTAAATAAGTAGTCTGCAAACACAAAGGAAAAAAGCAGGGCTTATTTGTCAGCTTTTTATCAGCCTTGTAAATAAATACACATCACACTCCTTCAATATACTAAAAACCTCGAGAATACATTCTTGGGAGGAAACACTGACCAGGTTATCTAATTCACTTATGGAATTACTTGCCAGAGTTCTCTAATACTTTAAAAGTTGTGCCAAATTGGACATGTCTGAGCCATCACAACACTAATAGGACTGTGAAAGAGGTTACATATTTAATACAGCTTGCATTTAGTGGCAAACCTCTATGTTCACCAACACTTTCACCAGTAAAAGAGGGGCCCTGTGGGCCTGCTTCATGCTGATGAAAGCTGCCTTCGTTTTTGAAAACCTTCTCCTCTTTCATGCAGTGATCAGAGAAACGTAGCTTGCAGAGACCACATACTACACTGACCATGCGCCTTCACTGTAACACTTACAGACTACACAGAACTTTCACTTCTGAGTTGAGGAAAGTTTAAGTGATTTTCCAACATCACATATTAGTATATTTCCAATTCCTTAACAACTAGTCGTCCTACCACAGAACCTCAAAGGAAAACCTAATTGAAAGGCAATGCTAACTCCCAGTTATACATTCTACTTCCTAGCATCCTTTGGAACTGGTCAGATCTCTGTATGCAAATAATTTTAAGACTGAAAACTTCTTAACGCATGCTTTAGTCCGTTACCCTTAGTACTTTCTCTGTATTACTAACATATATTCTCAAAAAGAGACACCCTTTGGAGACACTTATACATTCCCAACTTCCACCTATGGACAAGGGGCAAACAAAGTTTTGTTGACAAATATCCACTCTTCAGTAACAGCTCTCAAAATATGGACTCAATTCCAAAAGCACAGCCAGACTCATGAAATGATGACTTGGTAACACCAGGAGATGTGGAATTTTACCAGGCAAATGAAGGAGATTCTGCATGTGAAATGTCTTAGCTCCATTCACGTGTTCAGTTAGAATGAGAAATGAATGTGTACTTTAAAATATTAATTATTTTGGTATAGTATGGGAAATTTCCTTATTCTGGATGGAATCCCTAGTGAGAACACATTTAGGGCACTGTTTTAGTATTGCTAATGTTACATATTTGAGGAATTTTAGTGTTCTTTTTATACATTCAGCAGTACTGTATTACATTATAATGGAAATAGAGCTGAATCATCAACTTCTTATCTTATCAACCTAATTCTATTTATTAGATTTCTGGTAACGGACCAGTCATTTCTACTCAGCAGAAAGTATAAGTGGTTGCTGCTCTATTCAAGTGGCTCAGGACATAAGCCTTTATAATATGTCACAAAGAAATCTAGCTGTTTTTACAATTTAGTCAATTTTCTCTCAGTTTTACTTTTTCCATTAATGATGAGTTCACTACTTCCAGATAAGGCTAATATTTTCTAATATCTGCACTAACTGACCAGGATTATGACTAGTGCCCTGTGAGCACCAGACATTTGTAGAGAGTCTGAAGACATTCATGGCTAAAGCCTTACAAGGGTTTTCACTCACAACACAGAAGAAAACGGAAAAGTTTAAAATTTTGATTTGTGACAAAATTGAAGGTTGCCATGGAAGTCATCATATTTATTACATCTTATTCCTAACCTGCCACTGGCCTGTAATGGAGCAGTGGAAAAGTTTAGGAAGAATCCACGTAAGTGCCCTGAGCACAGAAATAAAAACTTGTGCAAGACCTACCCTAGATAATTAACCTCCAGGATTATATTTTAATTTTTGTATCAACAGATAATAGTATTAGTAACTGTTTAGATGTCAAAAGTGAAGGTTATAAGATGGGTGCAATGGTGCAAGCCTGAAATCCCAACATGAGGACAAGCTCAAGCGTAGCCTGGACAACATAGTGAGACCCAGTCATGCAAAAAAAGGCTCAGGTCATCGCTCCGTGTGAAGGTCCTGAGTTCAGTCTCTACTACCACCAAAAAATAAAAATAAATAAAAATGGGAAGGATATATCCCAATAGCATAGTATGTGGCAATTTAAATTTAGATAAAGTAGATAATTCTTATAGAACAACATGAATATAAAATATCTCTTTACACTGTGGCTAAATATAAATTATAAGGTTATGCTGAATGGGGTGTCTGACTTTGTCCACTGGCATTCTTATTTGAAAAATATATAGGAGACAAAGATTCCAGTTACTTCTTTACCTGAGTGATTACCTAATCAGTACAAAAGTATTTTCTTACACAGATAACTAGCTCACTAGGTGACAGAACGTGCCCCTGACAGCAACACTGCAGCCGGATAAACACTTGTCATTTATGAATGAAAGTTATTACTATAACAACAGTAACAAAGAAAAAATAAATTCCCTTGGACAAAACCAGGCAATCAGGGTGTTATAAACATGAAGAAAAACCAATAAACTAACGTAAACAAACACAACAACTTCACATACAGGAAGTTTATTTCAGATGGAAAAAATTCAATTTTTATATGCTACTATAAAGTAATATAATTTCAAATTATTTCAATATCATAAAAAAATCAAGATCATCCTTGCATAAAAACAAAGTGAACTTGATTAATGATTGCATGTATGAATTTCAACAATGTTAAAAAGAGTTAAACCTTTTGGTAATATATTCAGATTATTCTCATTACATACCTCTGTTCTCGATAGTTTCTTTTCATGAACAAGAAGAGAGGGGGGAAAACAAAAAATTAGTTGTCTATGGAAGCACATTAGTAGGACACTAAGCATAAAAGCTCTAGCATTCATTGAAAGGTCTCTACAACAGGACTTTGAGTTGTGGAATTAAAATGGGAAATATACACCAAAATGATTCATGTGGTCATTAGGATAAGTAACACTGATTATTTGACAATACTGTCAAATAATTACCCATTTTTAAAAGCACAAATAAGCTGTACTTACTAAAGGATAACTGTTTCTTAAATCAATTTCATTATACTAAGCATTTCATAATGTTCTAAAGTCAATCCAATTTCAAATACAGGTTTTCAGATATATACATAGATTTCAATAATAAAATTTATGAATCTGTTTATGTACGTAAGTTAACCGCATCTTATAGAAATAAAATCATACTTAAATCTTTTTGGAATACAATTCCCCAGCTACAGCTAAACCTAAAAATTTCAAATACAAGAACATAAATAGACACCGGGATATTTTATTTCATCACATATAATAAATAAGAGTTAATTCATGGCTGTTACGGACCTCCTTAATTATTACAATTTATTCATTCAAGCTTCTCACTAGAAATATCTGCTTAAAGTTTAATCTGTTTTTTATTTGACCATAAACGAAGATAAACTTACACGAGTTTCAAAATAAACTGACCTTAAACAAAAATTTGTTCTGAAGGGTATGACAGAGCAGTGCCAGTGTGGTGTTTGTTTTTTTTTTCAAAGGAGTTGTTACCTTCCTATCTGGACACATTTGTTAACATTCTGAAGACATGTTAGGTCAAGGGACTGAGTTATTTGGAACTCCTTACTTTAAAAGATCAAGGATGTAGGCAGTCCTGGTGATGCATGCCTGTAATCCCAGTACTCTGGGAGGCTGAGACAAGATGATCACAAGTTCAAATCCAGACGGGGCAATTTAACAATAAGACCTTGTCTCAAAATGATAATAATAAAAAAAGTTTAAAACAGCCTAGAGACGTAGCTTAGTGTGAATACCCTGAGTTCAATCCCCAGTACTAATATAAATAAAATATCAAAGATATTTCCATATGGATTTCATTTGTAGCACCTTCACCTGCAACCCATTCTATCTACACTATAAGAATAATAATGGGCAGATGAGGGTAAAAATGTCAATTTGTTACTGTTTTTCATTTTGGGAACTATTAGATGGAGAAAATATAAGCATGGTATCTTTCTTTTCCACACATTTTACTTTTTATTCTCAGCCTGATTACTTGAGATATACACCTCCAAACAAGTAATCTGCATTTCCTTTTCCACAAGAGTTGGAGGAAGGATAACTAGAGAAATTAGTGAAAAAAAAAATTACGCCTCAGACCCTAACTTTCCTTTTGGATTTCAAAGAGAATGTGTGAAGTACCACCTTTCTTAGTTTAATTCCCTTACTAAAATTTCTGAGTCTTCATTTTATTTCTAAACATATTCTGAATAGTTTTAGTCTTTACAACTTTAATCACTTGGGCTCAAATTACTTGAAGATACTATAATTTGAACAACATTTGCCTTTTTTAATGAACCACCGAAGTACATATATATATTCAGAAATATTTTTTTAAAAGGTCAAACCCCAAAAGGAACAAATGGAAAATAGGTGAGGTCAACAAACATACCAGTAATTTCAGAAGCAATAGGAAAGGTTTCAGATTTCCTGAATGGGAAGTTACTCTGCAGTTGTTAAGAATGAAATGTCTATTTGCATCAGTTGGTGGCAGAAAGTCACACACTCTAGAGTTAGCGATTGTTCTATTTTCAACTGATCAAATGAAACCATGGAGCTACTTCAAAACAGCAATGCCTGTGATGATGATTACTATGTAAGTTTGACATCAAGGAAACTTGTATGTCTGCCTCAAAATTTGACTCACAGCTGGTGTTAACCTGCCTGCCAGGCAAGGAGAGATCAAATGATCAACACACAGCAAAGCGCTCCTTTCAGGCATGTAATTCTGTAACTCCAAATGTTACACAGAGGCAGACTGTGCAAATGCAACGTTTCATGCACCTCGCAACTTACACATTGAGTGGCCTGAGGGACTGGGACAGGGCAAGGTACACAGATTCAGGGAGTGCAGAGCCTGCTGGCTGTGTGCCCCCACTGCATTATGCACGTCATAGGCGCCATGCTGCACTCTGCACCGTACTGTGCTGTCTTTGCCACTTCGTAGCGTGGTTTTCTAAGTGCCTTTCTATATTTTAATGTTTGCAGCACACAAAATTTATCCTGGCGGTAAAACTCACTGGTCTCACCTTTCAGTCAAAGATACTCTTTCAGGGTTCTGGCATCACAGGAAACGGCTATATACACTTTTCAAGGTGTCTCCTGTGAGTCCTTTAGGATAAGACCCTGAGATGACCCGAATCACAGCAAATGTGTGTGGTGCTGTCTGTGGGCCACGAACCACCCCAAAGGTTTAATCTACATTAACCTGTAGAGCAACACGAGTCTTTTAAAAGGACTGGGATGATTTAAAATGTAAAATACTGTAACTTCCAATTCAGTGACCTAAGTTTAACCCATGAGGAAAAATACGCTATGAAATGAGGAAATGAGCAAAATGCCTAACAGACGTGGCAGATCTTCCCAATGGAATAAAACCCAAGGCTGATGCACTGCAATGTCATCACCAGAAATCAGCAGACTATGATTTGAAGTTGAAACATTAAAGAGAAGAGTTCACTATAGTTAAGTTTTCACTTCCTAAATTCACTATTTGAATACTGACTACTTAGAAAGGAAACTGACCACCACTCCCCGCAACACAGACACACACACACACAGAGTTAAATGTTTGAAGGCATCTACTTAGCAAAATTCTTAAGGGTATCAAACATTATTCAAAAGTAATATGACTGGGCTGGGGATTTAGCTCAGCAGCAAAAGTGCCTGCCTGGCATGCGCAAGGTCGTGAGTTCGGTTCCCGGTACCGGAGAAAAACCAAAAAAAACAAAAACAAACAAACAAAAAAAGTAATATGACTTTTGACTTTTTAAATTTTATATGTTGAACCAAAAGCATAAGTTAAAACTATGGAGTTCAAGAAAAAGCTAGGCTTCCAAAAAATGTATAACATGAAGTTAAAATTCAGTTGTAACAGATTAAATTCCATGACAATCTTTTGCTTCACAGAAAAACACTAATATACTTAACACATAATTGTGCCTCCTTCATAACAGCTATGTAGCAACCTTGTGCCACAGGGTTACAGGAAGCTCTCATAAACAGATCTGCTGCTGCGGCTCTAGTGACACAATTGTCTGTTACTGCTGCAGTTGTTACGAAGGCCCTGAGCTTCCTGACTGTCCTCTTGCCCAGACTTCTGAGTATGAGTCTGAGTCCAGAGACGCTCTGTCACTAACAAGCACAGCAATCCAGCCTTCACGCAAGGCACAATTTAGACTGATTTGAACTCCCTGCGGCGATCTTAAAACAATATTCAGTACTTGCAGAATAGAAAAGAGTTGTGTCAAAATCTAAAAAAAATGATAACTTTAACTATGCTAAGGGTAACCACTGCCTGCTAAGCCAGACTGATTTTCAATCCACATATATTTATCCAGTGTTATACAACTTTCCAGACATTTTCATTAAATCCAAACATTTGAACACATTTTTACAGTAATACTGAGATATTTTCACTTACTTATAACCCCAGGCTGTTATTCCTAGTATGAGGGCCAGTACTAAAATGGTGCCAGCAATTATGCCTATGATGATATTGGTACCAGCAACACCTAAGAAGGAAAAAAAGGGAAAGGATTAGTGATACAAGATTCTCTCACAAATGTGTTCTCCAGACTTACAATCATCACACTAAACAGTGTTTGCTTTTTAAAAAAAAAACAGGTATTTTTCAAAAGAAAGAGAAGCCACATCAATTGGTTTATTTTTCAATTAAATTTTTGTGCATCTTTTTAATTCTTGTCCAAGTACATTTTGTTCAGTTGTATTTTCCAGGTATTTCTCTGGAAAGTATAAAATCACTGAACCAAAAGAAGGAAAAGTAATTTGATTTCTTTCAGACCACAGCACCATTCAGTCAGATGGGAAGTTTTAGAAAATCTGTGCTCCTTTTGACCCTTATCTCAATCTCAGAAATTCTAAAATGCTATGCTGATATTACTCCATTTAACAACTAAAGCAAGGTCCCTACCACTGTTGGTTATGTGTTGTATTTTGTCTCTCACAGTGAACTTAAGTTTTTCAAGTGAAAAAACATCTGTAGGTTTCTATGCAAAGTGTTCAGGTGTGCAGATGAGCGAGGCACTGGGCTTGCAGCTACTGGTCTGGGTAGTGACAGCTACAGCACCCTAGAGAGGGAGAGCAGTCTGCAGAGCTAGAGCCTAGCACAGGTGTGGGATGAGCAGGAGGAGGTACCAGATGGGCAGAGGCCAGGCAGGAGGGATGCAGGCCACCGTTCACTTAGCACTCAGTACCTGCGTGGCTAAGTCAGTGCCCACTGCCAGGCAGGCTGTGATGGTATCCTCGAGTGGACCCCAGCAGTGAGCCAGGCCCCATGAGTCCAAGGCTTGGTTAACAAGCTCTTGTGGGAGGGGCCCAGAGCAGAAAAGCCAGGTCTGAGGCCGGGCTGGCTATCAGTGATTTACACCACAGGTTTAATGGCCAGATTTCCACCGCAGCAGCTCCAACCTGTCCTTGTTTGCTCCACTTCTGAGGCATCCATTAGCACCTAAGGCCAGCCATCCCTGGCAGCTGAAGGAAAGTTCAGTTCTCCAGGGCAGAAGGCTGCCCACATCCTGTGCAGGAGGGGTCAGTCCAGGTGCCAGAGGGGCCTCTGGGGCTCTGGGCTTTTCTAACACCAAGATTTAGTGCATCTGTCTTCCCTTCCCTCTCTTACAGGGGTTAAATTAGGATCAATAAACTTAGGTACAGTACTCTTTCCATTTTTTCTGAGTAACGGCATGGCTTTTGCTAATTCACTTAAAGCCCATATTCTTATAAATACCCTTATCTCTGCATTTAATACAGGGACAAGCTCCATTCTACCACTTATCATTGCTAAGTGTGAGGACCCCAAAATCCTAATCATTCTGTGACTTTTTTTTTTTATTAAAGTCATGTTAGTTAAGGTTTTATACCTGTCTAGATGATTAAAATAAGTATGTTCCTTTTCCTCATCCTTTGGAGGCAAACAGACTTCAGAATTTGAACATTATTTTAGGCAAAAATATGCAATAATGATATGATGAAATAACTTAAAAGATAAACTCCACCTCCAAGGTATGAATTCTTTTAACTACATGCATTTAATTTCTTCCTCTCCACTCAAGCCACTCTAGTTTTTAGAACTATCCCTCCCCATTGTTTCTGATCTATGTCCTCAAACCCTGCCAGGCATCCAGGCCAAGGTTATTACCTCTAATTCAGGCTAACAAAGTGGAGCTGAATACTGATGAGCCTTTAGAATAAAGAATATTAAAATAAGTTCTTCAACTCTTTTTCTTATGCAATCTCTAAATATAGAGTATTCCCTTTAAATTATGAGTACTTTCTTCATTCGAAAGAAATGTTAGGGTTTGATGACAGCCTCAGGTGAGTAAGTACGAGACATGAATGATCTGTCTGAAGTAGAACATGAAAAAGCTATACAGTATATTAACTTACACTAGATATGAAAAATGATTACAATTTAATGAAAATGATCAGTTTCATGAGTAGATCTCAGCTGTGTAATTAATAATTATGTGGATATAATTTGTTTTTGAATTCTTGTAAGAATAACTCAAATAAAAACATCAAAAGGGCAGTTTTCGCTTTCCTTGGATGTGGAGATGATGCAGTGATACCAAACTAAGTACCCACCATTGCCAGCCAAAGTGATGCCGGTCTTTGCATCCTCGTTATAAGGGAAGTAAATGCTGCAGTCCGCACCTGTCCAGTGCCTGTTACACACACATGTCAGCTCGTTACTGCAAAACTGAAACCCAGAATCAAGGTGAACATTAGCTCTCTGGTCCAGAGGTACAAGAAATAAACATTAATTTCTGATTGTTAAGTGCTTGGAATTTGACGACACTGGAAAATTATTGGTGCTTCCTTCCTAATACTAATTATTTTATTCCTCACTGTATTACCTAAAAAAATATTTCCTAAGGACCAATAATTGATCCACAGGGGACAATGAAATTTAACGGAGGTATTTATCTACGTCTAAAAAAATCACTGCAATTATTGTTTTCACTTTTATTAATTTAAATGTCATAAGAGACTTAAAAATTAAGCATTAATACAATTCTCTGTCAGTTATCCAAAAGAGACTTTCTGTTACCCAGGCTGGCCATGAAACCCTGGGCTCAAGCAATCAGCCTGCCTCAGCTTCCTGAGTAGGTGAGACTACAGGTACGTGCCTGGTAGAAAAAAGGTGTTTTACCCCCAATTTTTATTACTGCTTTAAGAAAGAGAATAAGATAAAGAAAAATCCAATGAAGAAATGGGAAGGCCCGCTACTTTCCAGTGGTCTGAGAAAGAAGATTCACAGGGCGATTGCCCTGGGATCACCTCTGGGAACTAAGAAGTCCCACAAATAAAATATAGGAAAAAAATGAAAATGACATCAAATTCTTTCAAGTTATAGAAAGATAACATCTCTTTATTTATGAGTCTAGGAAAGAGACTCTCCACCCATATCTTATAATTCAAAATAACTGAGTGGAGTGGGAGGTAGAAGACAGGTACATTAGGTTTAAGATCAGGGAAATTCCTCCCGAGGCAGATTTTCACTAGAGGAGTGTTTCTGTCTCATCTGATCTGCAAAAGACCATGCACATCCATGTCTAGATGTAGCCATAGAATATGCAGGAAGAAGGTTCAGGCTTAAAGTCAAGTGGTCTAGATTCAAGTCCCCATTTCACTACTGTCCTATGAGTGAACCTTAATCAAGTCCCAGGCTTCTCCGACAGTTTCCATATCATATGACAGAAACCAGTGATACAGAAATAAAACAGACCAGGCTACAGTGAACAGAAGAAACAACAAAGCTAATATTTATTGAATACTATGTCCCAGGCAGTGCTTAAAGTGCTTTCTAATTGTTAATTTGTGTATTCTTCACAGCAATCCCATAAATAAAGCACCATTATTAACTCCATTTTACAAAGGTAGAAACTGAGTCACAGAGAGGTCAAGGAGTTTGCCCAAAGTCATCCAGCTGAGCTGGGAATCAAAGCCATCTGTCTGCAAGTGATAGAGACCACTACGAAGCAGATCTGAGCAGGACTTAATCAATTGGCTTTTCATGTTCACTTGTGACTCTGTCCAAGGCCTAGGCTCCTTGTCTGGAAATGGCGGACTCATAGTAAGTGAACCTCTGTGAGTCACTAATCCCTGCTAGAACCTTTAGTGGTGGATGAAGCCAGAAAGCCTCAAAGGACAAGACCACAGCCAAGGGCACCTGGGTCAGATCTCAACTAGATAAAGACTATAGCCTCAGGCATCTCATTCTTCAGTAGATTAACTTAATACCTTATTTAGAGAAGTCCTTGAGTGGTTCTGCCCTTCTTGAGTACTCCCCTCCCTTCTTCTGATAACCAAATAAATATGTCCGACCCAGAGAAGGTCTTGGTCTTAGCCCTGAGAGAATCTTGAATTATGTGAGAGGGCTTTGATCCTCCTGGAGCCCTGAAATCATTCCATTTGCCTCTTTTTTTTGTTTTTTTTCTGGTACCGGGAATCGAACTCATGACCTTGTGCTTGCCAGGCAGGTGCTGTGCTGCTGAGCTAAATCCCCAGCCTCTCCATTTGCCTCCTTTTATTTAGCCTTTGCTGTACACTCATTCAGGAGACTGCAGATAGCCTGCAATAACTAAGGGATATTATTAACCCCATATACAAACCCACAGGCTTAACAACCTGATGCATAGTGTATAAAGGATATTTACTGCACTTCCTCATTTTAACCAAGAGACTGGAGGTTAAAATTACATAGTCTGTGACACTCTGTATTATGCACGATTACTGTAAGTTATCTGGGTCCTATTTACCATCTGATTAACTTTCACTTTTCCTAATTTATTAAACCAATGTTTATTGGACACAACTATTTCTGGTCTCTGAATTTTGTATTAAAAATTTTCAGATAAATAAAATATAGTAATTCATATTTTAGCCTGGATGATCAAAAATAATTCCACTAATCTTTTCTCCTATCCCTCCTTGCAAACGTTTTCCCTAAAATCCTCTTAATTGAGGAAAGAAGATTTAGCAGACTCCTTTTAAACAGAAGCACTGCTACTTATTCTCTTTTTTATTTGTCACAAAAGAATTCCTAGGCTTTATCAAGGAGTGACAACTAGTTACGTCCTTAATAATGAATTATTGGTGCATCTTTCAGGCAAGTTACATGACGTGGCCAGGATCCTTTACCTCAACTGGATAATATACCCAGTGTAAGCAAAGAATCTAGAAAGAGGATAAAAAGAAAATCAGAGGACATGCTCAAAGAGAAAGAACCAAGATGTTTTTGTTAGCACAGGTATTCCTACCTGAAAATGAAAAAAATGACCTTTAAACTTACTTACATATGAATAGCATCTGATGTATAACGGAAAAGCTTTCTAGTGCCATTCTTTCTATTCATCTGTAAGAACTGGTTTCCTAAATTACTTCTAAGGTTCATCTTCAGCTGAAAAGCACTGGTGTGGCCACAGCTGTTATTATGATCTGTTCTGATTGGTCAGTTTCCCGACCATACCAATAATTAAATATTGTAGCCAGCATCCTTATTTTTCACTCCCTTTCTAAAAAAGCCCTGTTTAGTTTGTTAAAATTTATTTCCTAGTTCACTTGTAGAAAACTGACATTGTATTACATGAAACCACATTAACACAAGAAAGGAAGAGAAGAACTTGTTTAGAAACAGTACCCTTTTTCTTATTCCCAAGCATTCTGAGATTACAAAATAAAAATATTCAAATAGCTATGATCAATTTAGTGTTCACATATCAGCCAGAAACATGGATATACATGTCTTCCATAATTAAGGAAATAAGCACCTTAGGATCATACTTATTTCTGTGATATAAAAGAAATGAACAGTTCCTCATGGCAAGGCATTGAATGAATACTTACCCCATTTCCTGAACAAACAATGCCTTCTTTATTGCTTAGGCAAGTGCTAAAGTTGAAAGAGGCCATGGGAAGACACCTGCGTTCTAAGCACATCATTTTGGGACCACAGGGTGTGCCGTCTTCTACATAGCCAAGATCAACATCCTCTTCAAGCTTAACATGCCCACCACTAAAAACAGATTGATTGCAGAAAAGAAAATAAGAATCCATTAAGTTGCATTCCTCTTGACAATATGCGTAAAAACTAGAAAGCAGGCAATCACTTCTACTTTCCACCTACAACTTAAAGCCAGGAGCATTAAGCATGTTCAATATTTAAATGGAGAAAACTGAGTTTTTTGAGAGAAATCAATACATTTTAGGATTTAAATATAAAGGCCTGAGTTCAAATGACTTTATTATTTTGCCACTGCTACTATGTATAAGTCCAATAAGCTACTATTACTGGATTTGATTTTTTTTTTTTTTTTTTTTTTTGTTGTTGTTGTTGTTGTTTTTCTCCAGTACCAGGAACTGAACTCACGACCTTGCGCTTGCCAGGCAGGCGCTTTGCCGCTGAGCTAAATCCCCAGGCCCTGGATTTGATTTTATAAGTAGATTTCAGCATTTCAAATGTGTTTCAGAAAGGATGAAAAATAGTTTGGGATGACATATTCCAAAAACATTAAGTATGTATAATTCTATTTGAGAATGACTAAACTATTACAGTTCATTATTCAATACAGCAAGTTCACATGTTACACAGAAATAACCAAAAGGATAAGAATTGAAAATTCATAGCCATAGTCAATTTTTCATATGTGCCATGTGAATATTAGTTTTAAAAAATCCCCACTTTTTATTTGTATCAAAATTAAACATACTCATATTGTAAAGAATTAAATAGACACAGTGGTTTTATAAATGCTATAAAGCAGTCATCTCCCCCAATATAGTTCTCTTGGCAGAAAACCACTTTCTACTCCTGATTCTTTTGTTATTTATGTAAGCTATTTATGTGTTTTTAAATGAATTTTACTACTATATTTTATTTTTCAATCTCAGGTATTATCCTATGACTACCCTATATGGAAATTGAGAATCTATCTTTTCTTTCCCCTATTGATCATAAATTTTATTTAATCAATAGTTAAATCAGTAACAAATATGTACATTACAACTATGTTAGTTCTGTGATATAACCCTTTTCCCTGTACTATTTTTTGCATTCTTTTAATTTACTAAGTCCTTTGTTTGCTGTTCCTTTATCTACCTTTCTAAAAAATGTATCATCATTAACTCCAAGGTAATCCAAGCTCCTGCTGGTTATCAAACTCTCCGGTGAAGATATGTCCAAGTGTCAGTCTGGCTTCCTGTGAAAATGTCTCCCAGAGTTTCTGACCTGCTCCTGTCTGTTCTGTTCGGCCCCACGTACCTAAATGAACCTGTAAATCTTAGATTCCCCTCACTATTCATTTTAAGACTACACTCTCTCCATGCTGAGCATCTTACTTCTGTAACCCTTTTCTGTCTCTTCCTTGCCTTACTCCTTCATTTTGGTGAAGCAAAATTTCTAGGAGCTTCCTAAGAAAGGACATGGGTGAGTGAATTTTGGAGAAACGTGCATAGTGGAAAAATTTTTTGACCATACTCATAAATGAAATAAATCAGACCCGCATGTGTAAACAACGTATTGTCTCACTAGTGTAAGAACCTGAAAGAGAGAATGAAATTAGGAGGTATGATAGACATTGTGAAATGAAAAGAAACTGCTCAAAAGTAAAAAGCAAGTGGGAGGAGGGAAAAGAGAAAAGAAAGAAGGGGAAAATTATATATCTATGTATACACAGGACAGCTAACACAGTTGTACTACTGACTTCTATCACTTTGTTGAAGGGAACAGTTAATGATTAATTATTTGGTCAATCTTACATGTCTATATTCATTTTCCCGAGTAACCACTTTGAAGATATCAATATGTAATACAACAACCATTGTTAATTTCCTATCACCTTGTCTGAATTTTAGTATTGATTGTATTTTTCTTGTGTTATTTTGTAAATGCATGTGTTTGTTAATAAAAAAAGAAAAAAATTTTTTTCTTTAATACAAAGGCTGTAAAATAGACTTTTATTTTTAGCAATGAGAAGCCATATTTTAGGCCATAAAGCAAATGTTAAAAATTTTTAAATTCAAATAGTTTCTTGCTTCTCTATGAGGCTATAACTGAATAAAACTAGAACACCACAAGAAAAACTATAGAAAATATGCAAGCACATGGAGATTGAACATTGGCACTTTTTCTATGAGTACATGCTTGCAATACATGATGAATATTCACTGTGCAGAATTGGTGCATTGTACTTATGATACCTTAATCCTTTTTACTTCCCCTTCCCCTCATTCCTCTCCTCTTCCTCCGTCTCTAGCTCTAGACGCCCTTCCCATCTGAAAAAGGTCTATCTCCCTGTTTCATATCATGTATTTTTTATTTTGCCCTATTTTGTGTTATCTAATTGCTTCTTTAACAGACCTTCATCTATTGTCTTTATTTCAGCCCCTACCCCTAAACTCCTTTGCTCCCCTTTCAAAAGTATGCGATGTCACGAATTTCTGAATCCTCTGGAAGTTAACAGTATTTCTTGGATTGGATCTGTTTTCTCCAATACCGACTGAGGAACAAAACTTTCTCTTAGTTCTCGTAAGTCACGCACCACACAACCATCTGCTCTATGTTCCAAAATTGCGTTGCTCTTCTCTCCTCTCCTCAGTACCTTCCTATGGAGACATGAATTCTTAAAAAGATCCACTTAATCATTCAAGTGGAACAGAGAAAGGAGAGAAAAATAGATCCATATATTTAAACCACTGACTTCACTTAGAAGTAAAATGGTAGAAAAATATAATATTGTTAGGACGATATTGTTAGAACCAACTTAGAACAATATAATGTTCCATATTCGACTAAATCTTGCCTTTTATCATTTTGTTGGGATTGACTCGGCCACCTGTATGGACTCGCTTCCGATCTGCCTTACTAATATTCACATGAACTGAAAACAGTAGTTCCACACTGCACACTTGGGAAGGGTCACTGAGATCCTCATGGAATGATTAGATCATTACCTGCAATTTAATGTTCTTCCCTGCTGCACAACTAAAGTCGATGTGATTTCACCATCGAGCTCTCCAAGCCTTGGGATATTGCCAACATTGGTGCATAAAAGGTAACCACAAAGCACATCCCTGCATTGAAAGAGTACCAATTATTCATGGACTTCTTTTTGCAAAGATGTAATAAATGATGCACAGCTGTAATGATAATCTTTTTTTTTTTTTTTTTGGTTTTTCTCCGGTACCGGGAACCAAACTCACGACCTTGCGCTTGTCAGGCAGGCGCTTTTGCCGCTGAGCTAAATCCCCAGCCCCTGTAATGATAATCTTATCAAAATTTTATCATGGTTTTTATCAACTATATTACTTATATGCCACACAAAACAAAGTAAGCCCAAATTAGTCTGCCTTCTGCTCTGAAAAGTGCCGTATCAGTGGACCAAAATCTAATTTTCTTGTCTTCCCTTTACTGTCTAATAGTTCAAGTATTATCTAAAGAAAATTGCTGAATAGAATTTTTATGTCAGAATCTCTTCCCATAAAACATATCCTCATAATATCATACAATGAACTGTTTTTCAGTATTTGATAAGTGAACGAATGGCCTTTGGATGAGCATTCTTTTGTAATATAGATGTTTCTGTAATCTGTCTTCCCAGAATTAAAGAAAACATTTTAAACTGCACAAGTTTTATAGATTCCCAACCACAAAAGCTTACTACCTTTTTAAAATTTTGTCATTTCTCCTACTATCACATATGATTGTAATTCAAGCTGAAGATTTTTTACTGATTTAAATATTATATTATATATTCTTTATGTCTAACATATTATAAACATATTTTATTAAATATCTTGTGAGCATTGATTGGAAGACCAGATAGATTATATATATAAATGTCAATTTTCAATTAATAAAGAAGAAAGCTTAGGAATTTTAAAATTTATTATCTTACTGTATCTATTATAAACAAAAGTTCTTTTAAAACAAGAAAAGATATTCACTGAAGTTTTAAAAAATTTCATGTATGTATATTAACTTTTCTAAGTTATTAAGACTATATAAAGAAAATTGGACATGATCTTTACCCTCAAGGAAATTAAGCTCTGGATGAAAAGACAAATCACATATAAAAACTATAAAACATGCAGTTGGACAAAAGGGCCAAAGAATAGCATGAAGGATTATGGGGATTCAGGGAAGAGGGAGATGACTTATTTCAAGAGGAAATCAGGAAATAGAATATAGACAAAATGTTTTCCAAGTGGGTTTTGAAGCATAAGTTTTTCACCAATGATGTTATGGGTATAAAAGCTTCCTGAGAAAGGAACAGGACAAAAAGTCCTCTTTTTCACATCATCCAGAGTGTGATGTATGTATTAGGAGCAGTAAGGTTTGCCAGATTTTTGAAAATGTAGGTTGTTTGGGGCAAATTACAGACTAGGTTCAGTGCTAAGCTACGATTCTATTTTGTTACATAAGACAGTATTTTCTTTTTCTTTCGTTCTTTCTTCCAACTATAGTACTGTGGATTGAACATAGGGCTGCCCCGCCACTACACTGTATCCACAGCCCCCTTTTTCTTTCTCTCTCTCCCTCTCCCCCTCTCCTTTCTTTCTTTTGCTTCCTTCCTCCCTCCCTCCCTTCCTTCTTTCCTTCCTTTCTTTTCTTCCTCTTCTTCCCCTTTTTTCTTTCTTTTTTTGTTTCTCTTATTTTTGCAGCAGGTCTCACTAAGTTGCTCAAGCTGGGTTTGGGATTGCAACCATGCACCACCACACTCAGCCCTGTTCTGTTACATCCCATCTATATGACCTTAGGTAAATTAACTGACTATGCCTCTGCTTCCATAAGAATGGGAAGACTGCCATAAAGAATAAGGAGTGTATCCTATGCAAAATGTGACAGAGTTCTTAGCACATAGTGTGCAGCCAGAAAATGTTGGTATTATTCTCACTAGTAATTAGCTATGTGGAATTAATGAAATTTGAACAAAGAATTGACATAAAAGAAGTCAGGAAGAAATTATTGTGATGTTAGTATGCTAAAGACTGCTGGCATAGAAAATGTGAAAGAATGTTACAACAATAGCTGAAGAGCTAATACAGGTCCTAGGGTAATGGCAATAAAGAGGGAAATAAAAAAGTAAATTAAAAATAAGTGGTAGGGGAGCAAAAGGGGGAAAATGGCCATGATTTCGCGTTTGGACAACATACAGAAGAAAGGAAGAGTTAAATTTCACTCCTAGGGTGCTTTCTATGCAAGGCAGTGAGACCTTGGGATTTTTGGTAAAAATGGAGGTGATCAGGCCAACTAACTCATTCAGCAGCACTGAGTACGTGTTCTGGTGGCTTAAACTCTTGTTATTTTCAGGTGCTGCCAGGTGTCCTCTAGAGGAGAAATTTCTGTCACTACCCGGATGACACAGGCCTTGGGAAGGAAGTCGGGGTACAAGTCAAGGTGTGGGAGCCCTTGTGGCGCCGGAACCTTGGGAAGAATGAAGTGAGTAGGGAAGAGCATGCTCTGTGGGCTTCAGGGAACAGGAACATCCAGCAGCTGCCTGAGGATGAACTCTGGGCTCCCAGCTCCACCTCACCGTTTGTTGCACTGTATCCAAGTGTCTTTGTCTTTCCCACAGTTACCCTTCTCGGTCCCCTCGATATTCAGCTTCTCATAGCAGTATTTCTCTGATGCCGTCACCTCTGCAGCAGAACAGAATTTTCTATCAGTGAGGGAGGGAATATGTGAGCTGTTCAAAATGCCTACAGTACAGCAGAGCTGCAGTTCAAGGACTCTTCCCATCACAGTGCCCGCAAGACCCCAGATAAAAACTGTGCCATGGCTCTTAAGACTGCTCCTGTGTCATGGGCATCCTGGGTGGGCTCAGGTACATTTGCTCATGACTCATCTGAAATTTGGAAAACAACAATTTTCGATCTCTGATGGAACTCAGGCTACAGACTGCAAGAACACCGCTCAGCAGTTGGCTAATCAGGAAGGGGATGCAATCAAACAGCTTATTGAGTAAGTACAGGCTTCAAACTTAGTACCGGATATAATGCATGAACTTTGTAAGCAGCAAAATTTATTAACCGGAAAAGCAATTTTATTAAAATAAGTAGGCATTGTGTGAGCAGATTTACTAAACAGTGGCACAAATTCTATCTGGTTTACTAATTCTTACCAGCTATCAAAAACAATTTTATTATGTTTTGAATGACAGTCATGCTACATATCCTTTAAAAATATACCAGCCCCTTTTTTGGGTTTTTAATCTTTTCTAAAGTTAAGGTTGGGCTAGGGATATAGCTCAGCAGCACAAGTGCCTGCCTGGTAAGAGCTAAGTCCTGAGTTTGATTCCCGGTAGCAAAAAAAAAAAAAAAAAGTTCAGGTTAGCTGATAGAGTTATTCAAGAATTAGAACAAAAGGACTTTGGCAAACTATCACACACAAATTTTGAGCATCCCTAACAAAAACACGAAACCCCTAATGCTATATAAAAGTGGCAACTTTTTGAGTGCCAAAGTAACACCACAAGTGGAAAATTCCACCTGATCTCATGTGATAAGGTACAGTCCAAACTCAGGCACTAGACTAGTAGTGGAGCACTTGCCTAGCATGCATGGATCCTGATTTTATAATTTTCGATCCCTAAAATTATAAAAAGAAAAACAAAACTTCCCAGGTATATTTAAAATATTGTATGAAAGTATCTTCAGGCTTTGTGTATATATGAAAAATAAATGAATTTTGTGTTTATACTTGGATCTCATATGCAAGATAGCTCATTATCTATCTGTAAAATATTTGTAAAGCAGAGAAAATCTGAAATCCAAAACACTTCTGGGTACCAAACATTTCAGACAATCAATATTCAGTCTCTATACATTAAAAAAAACAGTAATAATTATGTTGGTAGTTTCTTCTCCTATTTCTTACTAACAGCTACTCTTTATGTTCAAGAGGAAGAAACAAAAAGCACATCTCTTGTCCAGAGTACAAATCTGCAAGTCTAAGTCTTTCCTTCCTCTCAGTATTTCTGGTAGCTCATGAGAATGTACACTTCCTCTCAAGAGATTAGAGCCTATGACAATTAAAGATTACCATTTTTTACAGTTTTTGTTTCCTAACACAAATTGTCTTCTGAAAGAGTTTAGGATAAAACTTCTTCTAAAAAGTAGCCCAGTAATACTTGTAGAAAAATATATATTATACAATGTTCAAATATGAATTTAAAGAGAAAATAATTTAAATAATATACCTTAAATATGACCATTACAGACTTTCTCTGAAACACTGACAAACTCCTTTCTGTTTGTGTGTCTTTCTTTTTTTGAGACAGGATCTTACTATGTATTTTTTTTTTTTTTTTGATACCAGGAATCAAACTCAGGACCTTGTGCTTGCCAGGCATGTACTTATGCTGCTGAGCTATATCCCCAGCCCGTTACTATGTATTTCAAGCTAACTTTAAACTCACAGCGATCCTCCAGCCTCAGCCTCCCAATTACAGGATTACAGGTGTGTGCTATCATGCCATCCCCAGCCAACACTGACAAATTTTGAAGGAAGTAACATTTTCTTTCTGATACAGAAGGTCATCTCTAATCAAGAAAGCCAGCTAGAGTTTAGATAAGATAGCTGAAGAGCAAATTGCAACTGTACCTAAGAGCATGGGTTCTAAGTCAAGGGTGCCCCATTCGGGATCCACGCCCTGCATACATTATACAAGTCTGTCTAAGGGCACTCAGCGCTCAGCGTAGGAGTGCACAGCCAAGTCTGCCCTGCTCTGTAAGCCCTGCGCGTGGCCTGGCGGGGCTTCACCTCCCTGGTGGCAAAGGCACCTTCTGTGTCATCACAGGCACCACCACCTGGCCAGGAAGTGTGGGGTTTCATCTTCCCAAAGGAGATCCCTTTCTCTAACTTCCAGAAAACAGCCCCTGTCATGAAGTGCTAACAAATTTACTTCCATCCCACCCACGCTTAGGAAGTTTGCCTGATGCCCTATTTTAAAAATTACTTACTTTGTCCCCAGATATATTTGCATTGCCTGTCCCTGGTTTTGCATCTTCCTCCGAAGCAGATTCCCTAAAACAGAACAGCAAATTCCCATTAGCGATGCAATACCTGTTTATGTCAGACGGAAATAAAGAAAATATGATTGAGGAAAATGATAAGCACACATTATAAAGGCACTTTATCTTCCAAATTGATTGCAAAACATTTAAATGGATCTTCCTGTTTGGGTCAGACTCCAGTGTTTCTTGCATGCTGGTAGCACCCAGGAAGTGATGCCACCTACCTGGACACCATCGCACTGGTACCCATCCATCTTATGAACATTAGGGGCGCACTACAAAAGAAGAACAAAAGCACAGTATCAGGCTGGGGATCACCCCTTTTATGTTTTCATTTAAAAAATTACATCTGACAATACACCTTATCTCTCAAGTCATTTATAGATAAAAACAGTTCAAAAGAGAGCAAGGGGCCAGGGATATAGCTCAGCGGCACAAGCGCCTGCCTGGCAAGTACAAGGTCCTGAGTGCGATTTCTTTTTTTTTATTTATTTTAAAAATAAAAGGAGGAAAACATTAACAGACAGACAACCTTTTACAAAATAGCAAAAGAACAGTACAGACAATACAGAGTTACAAACAAACTGGTAGGAAATTAACAATGCTTGTTGTATTACATATTGATATCTTCAAAGTAGTTTCTCATGAATACAGATAGAGACAGGCAATGCTGATCGATCAAGGACTCGTTGACAGTTTCTTTCAGCAAAGAAATAGAGAACAGTAGAACAACTATGTTAACTATCCTGTATATACATACATACAAAATTTCTCCTTCTTTCCCTTCTCTTTTCCCACATTCCAGCTGCCATTTACCCTTGAGTGTTTTCCTGTCACTTCACAATGTCTATCATATCCCCAAGTTTAAATTACTTCTTTCAGGTTTTACACTAGTGAGACAATGCTGTGCTTGCACATGCAGGTCTGATTTATTTCACTTATGAGTATGATCTCTAGTTGTGACCATTTACCTATAAAAGCCTCGAATTTATCTTTCTTTATAGCTGAGTAATATTCCATTATGTAAAAGTACTACAATTTTCTTATCCGATCCTCGGTGGATGGACATTTGGGTTGCTTCCACAATTTAGCAATTACAAATTGTGCTGCTATGAACATAGGTGCACATATATCTCTGTGATATGATGTTTTTAGATCTTCTGGGAAAATACCCAGAAGGGGAATAGCTGCGCTGAATGGGACCTCTAGACCTATTTTTCTGAGGAATCTGATTTCCACAGTGGTTTCACCAGTCTGCATTCCCACCAGCAGTGGAGAAGGGTTCCTATCTCTCCACAACCTCGCCAGCATCTGTTATTGGTTGATTTCTTAATGCTAGCCATTCTTACTGGGGTAAGGTGGACTCTCATGGTTGTTTTAATTTGCATTTCTCGAATGACTAATGATGTTGAACATTTTGTCATGTATTTATTTGCCATTTGTATTTCCTTATCTGAGAAGTGTGTATTCATCTCAGCTGCCCATTTTTGGATGGGGTCTTTGAATTTGGGGAGGGTGATATTTTTTAATTATGTATGTGTTCTAGATAGAAGCCCTTTGTCTGAGGGACAATCAGCTAAAATTTTTTCCAAGCTTGTGGGTTTTCTTTTTACTCTGCTGGTGATTTCTTTAGATGTGCAGAAACTTTTCAGTCGGATGAGATCCCAGTTGTTGATTCTTTCAAGTGTTTCATGTGCACTTTGGTTTTTGTTCATGAACCCTCTGCCTACCTCTATGTCTTCAAGGTTTTTACCTACTTTCTCTTCCAATAGATTTAGTGTTTCTGTTTTAATATTGAGATTTGTGAACCATTTTGACTTGAGTTTGGTTCATGGTGACAGGCTTGCATCTATTTTCATTCTTGGCAGGTAGCAAGCCAATTTTTCCAGCACCATTTATTAAAGAGGCTATTGTTCTTCCAGTGAGTTTGTTTGGCCTCTTTATCAAAGATTAGGTGGCTGAGTGTGTTTTTGGTTGTGGCTGTTTCTTCCAGTCTGTTCCATTGATCCTCAGGTCTGTTTTTTAGCCAGTACCAGGTTGATTTTATTACAGTAGCTTTGTAGTATAATTTCAGGTCAGGGATTGTGATTCCACCTGACTTGTCCTTGTTGCCCAGGATTGCTTTTGCTATTCTGGGTCTGAGTTCGATTTCTGATACCCCCCACCCCCCAAAAAAAGAGCAAGTGCTGGATATGGTGGTGCACTCCTGTACTCCCAGCACCTGGGAAGCAGAGGCAGGAGGATCGCTGTGAGCTTTAGCCCAGCCTGGGCTACAAAGTGAGAACCTGCCTCACAAAAAAAGGAGGGGAAGGAAATGCAACCATTTGTACTCCTCAAATATGGATCTACCTGAGGCAAACACAGTGGATTACACAGTAGCAAAGGAACAGAACTGCTGCAATAGGCTCAGGGAGTGATTTATTTAGGGGCAGCCACTGTACAGATACAGTGCCTCGGAGCAAGGAGGAGGAGGAGGAGGCCTGGGACAAAGGCAGGTGGTTTGCCCACAGGCCAGAGCTAGAACAACTGTCTCTCCTTAGTCCAGAGAAGCAGCTCATTTAAAATAATGACTGTCAAGCAGAAGTCTGCTGTGAGAGGTTTTTTTTTTAATTTTATTGGTACATTTTAGCTACACATACTGATCACATTCATCACAGGGAATTTCTATGTGTACACTATGTGTCTTGCTTCTTCTTCCCCCTCCATTCCCCCTTCAAGGCTTCTCCCCCTCCTTATTTACAAAGCTGTGTTTCCACATCTTCCTTCTTTTCTGTTCTTGTCCCATCTTTCTTTTCCTCTTCACCCTTCCTTTGTTCCCCTTCTCATTTGAACAGTCTCTTCCTATTTTTCAATATCTGTTATACATTTTGACTCTTATTTATACTTTCCTTGTTGCCCAGGATTGCTTCTCACTCCAGAGAAACAGTGCAATATTTAAACACATATGTCTAATTTATTTCACTTGTGAGTATGTCATCCATTCAGCTAGAAATGTCTCAAGCTTATCCTTCTTTATGGCAGAGCAGCTCCATTGTATAAAAAACACATCTTCTTTATCCATTCACCAGTTGATGGGCATTTGGGTTGTCTCCAAGATTTGGATATTACAAACTTTGTCACTATACACATAGTTATGCATATATCACTGTGGTATGATGCTTTTAATTCTTTTGGGAAGATACTAAGAAGGGGAATAGCTGGGTCAAATGGGATGTGTGCTTGTAGTTTTTTGAGGACTCTCCACACTGATTTTCACAGTGGTTGCACAGCATTTGTTATTGGTTGATTTTTAGACAACAGCCATTCTTTCTGGAGTGAGGCAGAATCTCAGAATTGTTTTAATTTGCCTTTCTCCAATGACCAGTGATACTGAACATTTTTTCATGTATTTATTTGCCATCCCTATTTCTTCATTAATAGAATTCCACATAGCCATTTCTGGATTGGGTCTTTAAATTTAGGGGAGCTGATTTCTTTGAGTTCTTTATGTATTCTAGATAGTAGTCCTTTGTTTGGGATACAGGTGGCAAAAATTTTTTCCCACACCATGGGTTGTCTCTGCACTCTGTTGGTGTTTTCTCTTGCTGTGCAAAAGATTTTTAATAAGGTGAGTTCTCAGTTGTGGGTTTTTTGTGATATTTCCCATATGAGTGGAGTTTTGTCCATAAAGTCTTTGCCTACAGCAATGTCTTTAAAAATTCTACCTATTCTATCTACAAGCAGATTTGGTGTTTCTGTTTTAATATTTCAATCATTGATCCATTTTGATTTTAGTTTAGTACATAGTGAAAGATACGGGTCTAGCTTTAATCTTTAGCATGTGGAAAGCCAGTTTTTCCAACACCATTTACAAAAGGTTCTCTCTTTCTTTCAGTGAGAGTATTTGGCTCCTTTGTCAAAGATAAGGTGGCTGAGTAGAGTATGTTTGGAGATCATCAATAACTACTTTAGAACCTGTATTCCAATAAGATGGTAAACACAGAAGAAATGGACAGACCCCTAGATACATATGAGTTACCAAAACCCAATTAATAAGATATAAAAGTTCTAAATTCACCAAAATCAATGAAATTAAAAATGTAATTAAAAACCTACCAACAAAGAAAAGCCCAAGCCCTGACAGATTCACTGCTGAATTCTGTAAGAAATTTAGAGAAGACCTAATGCCACTGCTCCTCAAATTCTTTAATGAAATTGAAAGGGAAGAAATACTCCCAAATTCATTTCTGGAAGCAAGCACTACCCTAATACCAAAATCAAACCAAAGAAGGAGCCAACTAAAAAAGAGAAATACAGGCCAATCTCTCTATTGAACAGAGATTGAAAAAATCCTCAATAAGACACTGGCAAACAGAATGCAGCAAATCATCAAGAAGATTTTACACCATAACCAAGTAGGATTCATCCCAGGTAGGCAGGGATGGTTCAGTAATTTCATTGTTTCCTTTTAGTGTTGCTATGGTTCATATTTAGATGTCACTCCAAAGCCTCATGCAGTCATGGGGCGGGCTTCTAGAGTTTATGATTCATTCATGGTCCAATACTGGGATTACTGGTGTGAGTGCTACACCCACCCTGGGGCAGGTAGCCTGCATACAATACAAGGGAGGGAAAGAAGCTTGCTCTCCGCTGCTGCTCCTCCCTTTTGCTTTTGTGGTTTTCTGCTGCCATGAACTGTTGCCCTCTGCCAGATGCCAGGTGCGACCCTGCCTTGGAGCCAGCCAAGTATGGACAGAAACCTCCACAAACTGTGAGCTAAATAAACCTTTCCTTCCTTAATTTTGGGCATCAGGTATTTTGTCCCAGCAACGAGAGAAAAGTAACCAAGATGAATGTGTTAAATAAATACTTCTTTTCTCATTTCCCTATGCCTTTAAGCCAATGGCAGGAGATTTTAATAGTTTGATGCACTTTTTACATCATTTTGTTGCAACAGCATCTCACTATGTAGTTCAGGCTGGCCTTGAACTCCAGTCGATCCTCTTATCTCAGCCTCCCAAGTGCTCAAATCACTGGCATGTGCTATCACACCTGGCTTTCGTTGACGCATGTTTAAAGATCATGGATCAACCATAATTTTTTTTTTTTTTTTTTTTTTGGTCTTTTGAGATAGTCTCAGTATGTAGTTCAGGCTACGCTACCTGGTTTCAGCATGCATGGCCATTTTTATAGTCCAACACCACTGTGCAAAGTGAGGACGGGGCATTTTGAAACCTGTGGACCCTCATCAGTTTCCCATTTCCCAGTGCATCTATTGACAGCTAAAGGCTATCAATTTCCAGGACAGCCGTAAACTGTACAAGCGACATGACCATCTCAGAAAGGGAAGGTGCGCCCTCCTCTCAGAGCCCTGTGCGCTAGGACTCTTGTCTCCGCTGGCTTCTCTCTCACCCAGCTAAAGAGTCCTTGGTTTCTTCCTTTACTAAGTAGGCAAAAATAAAATGCCTTTTACTTTGAACTTAAAACCAAAACCAAAATATTTAAGTCATGCATGTGATTTCAGGCTAATTCAACATTAAGACAAAATTATGCTGCACATCTGCTTACGGTTTGATTACTGAATCTTTAAATCCTGAGAAACAAAGAGAGACGCATTCCTGGGGGAGGCCAGAGGACTAAAGATACCCCCCACTTTTTCCTCTAGGGTTTAAGGAAATCATCTGTAAATTACCTGGCTTGAATTTCCTGAGCATGTTTCACGAATATCACAATCATTCACTGCTTCTCGGCACACAGTCCCCAGAGGCTGAAACTAAAATGAAGAAAAATCAATATGTAAAACTGTAGCGGAAACAAAAACCCTCACAGTATCATCTTTAAAAAGAAAATACAAAATGGTTTGGCTAAGAATACCTTAAACTATTTTAAGATGATAGGAGAGGAAACCACAGTTATTGAACACAATGCTATTTTTAATAGTTTTAAGAGACAGTTTCTTGTGTATGGAGTAGCTTCCACGGTCATCACACATAAGCCTCAGAACGTTCTGCTAAAGCAGCATACTGCTTGCTGGTACATCTCCATTAAGAATGATGAGTTGGTTCCAGGTCTAGTAATTCTTTCTGCCAAGTAGCATTTAGAGTTAGGCTCTAGCCTTCATTCTTATTGACGCTTTAATCACATAATTCTCTCTCTCTTTTTTGTAGCCTTATCTGCCAAGAATTGGGCTGAATCACAGAAGTCTGATTTTCTAGCAAAGCTTTTTCCTCTCCAGCCAGCTGCCTAATCTACATAGATTAAAATCCTGGCTATTCACTCTTTCCCAGTGTTTCTCTTATTTATACCCAGTGGGTTTTATTTTGTGCTTCTTTGTTTTCAATCTCCTCAAATACCTTTTGTAAGTGTGCAGTTCTGTAAATAACTTTTCAATCTCCCCCAGTTTATAAATCACAACAGTGCTCATTACGACAAAACAGAACAGAGATACATGAAGTTATTACATTCTCCTTCCTTCTACAGCCACGTTCCTTTTCCCACTCCACAACGCGAAGGTCTGGGACCAGCTCCTTGGAGCTTTCCGCTACTGGCAGGAGCATCCTCAGGCTCTCTGCTGTGGGAGCCACACCCTCCTCCCGGCTCAGAACTCCCAGGCACTGAGTATTCACCGGCCACAGCCACTGCCAACTTCAATGAGGATTTCAAAAAAATAATTTTTAGGAGATGTGAAGTATTTACGAAGCACTCGGGAGTGCTAAGCACTGTTTTAGCCACCAAAGACTCAGGAGAAAAAAACATCAGCATGGTACGGCTTACAAGGAACTTGCCTTTTAATATGCGTAACCGGGCCATAAAAATAAGGAAATAAGCAAAGTACTTTAATTTCATATGTTCTGGTTCTCTTATTCCTTGAAACTGGCACAAGCCACAACTTTAGAATATCTAAAGTAGAAATATGAGCAGATTTGAGATAGAGTTTAGATAAAGACTATGAATGTTTGAGAATTTCCAGGAAGAAAGAACAGCAGTGTTGGGATATAGGAAAATAAGTCAACCACAATCCTTGCCCTATGTGAACTGTCAATGTGAAGAGGAAAATCATAAACAAGAAAGCCAGCAGTATTTTACAGTAGAGGTCCACAAATTACTGACTGAGGGCCAAACTGGCTGTCTGCCTTTGTAAGGTTTTCCCACACAGCAGCACGCACTTGATTCTGTATATTCCATGGCTGTTGCAAAGGCAGAGCTGAGAACCTGCAACAGAAACTTGACGAGCTACACAGCCTGTTAATGACCTTGCCCTTCACAAAATATGTGTGCCAGCCCCGGCTTACAGATAAATCATTATAAATACGCGTAGAAAAAAAAGAGATACATACAATTCATCATCTTGATCTTCAATTCTCCCCTCCCCATTTGGTACCCAGCCTTTAGCCCCCTAGGAGTCCAGAGTAGGGAAGAAAGTGGGGAGATGCGGGTCGAGGAAACGGCAAAAAGGATTTTACTGGCCTCGTAAGTTATCCTGTGGGACGGTAAAATCATGCCATCTCATTTTAAGTTTTAAAATTTTATTATTTTGTGCTTGCTCTTTGCAATGACTGTATCACAAAGAGCCTAAATCTGTAAGTTAAGAAAAGAAGGGCCAGGGATATAGTTCAGTGGCACAAGCGCCTGCCTGGCAAACATAAAGTCCTGAGTTCACTTCCCAGTACCAAAAAAAGAAATCACTATTAAAAAAACAAAAGAAAAGAAAACACGTAATTCTAGATGGCAGACTAAAAACATCCAGGTTGATGACAAGTGACTCATCCCTGTTACGGCACTTGGAAGAGCTGACAGAGTAAGTAATTGTTTTAGCCAAAATGAAAGAATGTCTGTTTCACATTTGGTTTAATCTTTCCTTTTCAGACAGAGTTTTCAAAGATCACTGCCAGTACCTTGCTTGTCTTCCAAAAGCTGCCAGAAGACAAGTTCCCTGTGAACTGTGGGAGAGTGGAACAGCAGAAGCTGCTGCCAGCAGATCTGGAGTGCAGCTGCCATTGATCCCTGACTGGCGGTAGGAGCCTGTGGAGGTTATTTCACTTCCTTGGAATGGGGGGTCTCCCAGCTGTGAACCAGGATCACAAAGCATATCCGGAAAGTGTGCATACAAGCACGGTGTAAGACAGTGGTCTCAACTGGGGACGACTGTCCCACAAAGGGACCTTTGGTAACGTCCAGAGATTTTTGGTTGTGAGGGCCAGGATGGTTGCATCTAATAGGTAGAATCCAGAGATGCTGCTAAACATCCTATAATGTGTAAGACACACCTTCCATAAAAATAATTATCCAACCGAGAATGTCAACAGTGCCATGGTTGAGAAACTCAGATGTAAGATGACATACATTGAAAGTGCACAGAATAAACTCTGGCACATAGAAGATAGTATGATAGTTTCTTTTTGTTTGTAAGCCAATGTTACTTTACTAGTACATGTTTGCAGTATGTAATGATTACATTTATTGTAGGGTTCTGCACATGTACATAACACAGCTTGTTTTCTTTTGTTCCCTCCCCACCCCCGTACCTGCTCCTCCAACTCTTCTTCCCTCTTCCTATTTGCAAAAGCTCTATTTCCATTTTTTTCTCTTCAATTCTTTTTACATCCCTTTTTCCTTCCTCTCCTCCTCCCTCCATCTCTTGTTCCACTTCCCATTTGAAAAAGATCTCTCTACTTCCTAATATCTATCTTTAATTTTGCTCCTTATTTATACTTTTGGTTTCTCATATAGAGAAACAACGCAATATTCCAACTTGCGTGTCTGATTTATTTCACTTAATATTATCGTCTCAAGATGCATCCATTATAGGAAAACAAGAAGAATCAAGATATATCATGTACAGGTGTCATGTACAGGTACAAATGATGAATGTTATAATTATGTTTATCTAACATGTACCAATAAAATTAGTTTTTAAAAAGCATACATTTACCTAAAATGCCTCAACTTTATCCTTTTCTACTAGCAGAGTAGTCCTCCGTTGTACATAAATGTCTCATTTTCTTTATCCATTTATCTGTAGGTGGATATATAGGCTATTTCCAAGATTTAGTTTTTATATATTGTGTTACTATAAATAAGGGTATGCATACATCACTGTAGAATGACTTTAACTCCTTCAAGAAGATACCTAGAAGGGGAATGGCTGGGTCAAATGGAATTTTTAGTTTTAGTTTTTTGAGGAATTTCCATACTGATTTCCATAGTGGTTGTACCAGTTTACACTCCTACCAACAATGAAGAAGTGTTCCTTTTTCCCTACAGCCTGGCCAACATTTGTTATTTGTTGATGTCTTTTTTTTGGTACTGGGAATCGAACTCATGACCTTACTCTTGCCAGGCAGGTTCTTGTGCCACTGAGCTATATCCCCAGCCCTTGGTTGATGTCTTGATGATAGCCATTCTTTCTGGACTGAGATTGAAACTTAGTGTTTTACATTTCTCTAATGGCCAGCACTGTTGAACATTTTTTCTTTTTTCCTTTTTTTTTTTTTGGTACCAGGAATTGAACTTGGGACCTTGCACTTGCCAGACAGGCACTTGTGCCACTGAGCTATATCCCCGGCCTTTTTATCTCTTTATTGGCCATTTGTATTTCTTCATGTGAAACGTATCTAGGCATTTCAGATACCCATTTCTTGATTGGGTCTTTAAATTGGGGGAGGGAGCTAATTTTTTTGAGTTCTTTATGTATTCTAGATATTAGTCCTCTGTTCAAGGAGTAGTGGGCAAAATATTTTCCCCATTCTCTAGGGGTGTCTTCACTCTGTTGGTGATTTCCTTTGCTGTGCAGAACTTTTTAATTTGATGTGATACCATTTGTTGATTCTTGGTATTATTTATTGTATAATCAGGGTTCTTTTCAGAATCTCTTTGCCTATACCTAATATGTTGTATCAGTCAGTGCTTACTAGAGAAACGCACTTAATACAAGATATAAAAATATGTAAGAGGGGGCTGGGGATTTAGCTCTGGGCACAGCGCCTGCCTGGCAAGCACAAAGTTGTGAGTTCGATTCCTGGTACTGGAAAAACAAAAAACAAACAAACAAACAAACAAAAAAATATATATATATAACAATGTACAAGATTGGCTAGCAATGTAGCCTCCACAGAGTCAGGTGTGGAAGAGTAAAAAAAGTCTGTCTGCATGCTGGAGATCCAAAGGATCCAGCCAAGGGGCTGGAGCTCACTGTAGTGTCCCGTGCAAGTCCGTATCAGAAGACAGAAGGGTCTGTGCTAGAGGCTGAATAGTCTGTGCTGGAAGCCAGAAGACGATGTCCAAGGTGATAGTGAAAACTGTAGCTCCTCCCAAGAAATAGAAGTGAACCCTCCTTCTCATTTTCCTTTTCTGCCATTCAGGTGACAAGCCTACCCAGGGTGGGTCTTTTGTCTTCAGTAAATCCCCTCAGCCACACTGAGAACTATGCTGATCCAGTTTAGTTGGGTGTTTCTTACTCAAATTGACACAATCAGTTAGTTATGACCTATATCTTCAAGAGTTTTACCTATTTTATCTGCCTGAAGATCTTTGATATATTTTTAGTTTAGTGCATGGTGAGAGATCTGGGTCTAGATTCAATTGTCAGCATATGGGTAGCCAGTTTTCCCAGCACTATTTATTAAAGAGGCTATCTTTCCTCCAGTGAAAGTATTTGGCCCCTTTGTCAAAGACAAGGTAGCTGAATGTGTCTCAAGTTGTTTCTACACTGTCCATTCTGTTTTACTGATCCACAAGTCTATTTTAATTTTTTCCAACACCATGATGTTTTTG